AAGCAAGCATCGGAGGATGAACTGCGAACACTTGCGAACAACTACATCACTTTGTTTTCATTTCATGCTTGCTCTCTCGTTTCTCTCAGTCAAGCTGGTGACGTCGGGGGCACGAGGTAGTCAACTTGTCTCCATCCGCAAATCAGGGGCATAGCCGTCTTTAGCCCACGGATCTTATGGCGAAATGTGAAATAAAGCGGCACATGACGCAGGCCTGCTGATAGTGAACAAACGAAAGCAACATTGCCTGAAACCTGCTTGTCGGTCTGCTGCATTTTTGCCCGGCGAGTGGAATCAGAATTTTTCACATCAACAACTTCGTTAACGCTTGACAAGATCCTTACGCAGGTGTAGAAGATGAACCTGCCTGATCATCAAGTCCAGTCCAGGTAAACAAGCGCGCCGATTTAACTTCATCTTCGTTTGTGGAGAGGTTTCTTCGCACAGAAAACCGCCCGAGCTCCTCGCCTTCCCCCGTTTTCTTGTCCCTCTTTTTCCGCGGCCACTGAAAGCTGATTTCTTTGCAGAATGGGTTTTCTTCCAGCAAGTTTTCAAAGTCGCAGCGCAACGGCAGTGATTCCACTTCTTCGTCGTCTGCTTCTAAGGCCGCCCGTTCCTTGAGCTCCTCTTCCTGTTCGTGAGCGGTTTGTGACAGGCTTGTGACGAATTCCGCGAATACATTCTGCAGCCGGTCCAGCTTGTAACAATTGTGGAACTTCCAAATCTTGGTGAGTCCGTTCTCCGCAGAAGCGCTGAGTCCCAGGTACTCCGCCTGCTTCGGCCACACGGCCACGAACTCGGCGCGGTGAAACCGCAGAAAGTGGCCGTCACAGTCGGTGTTCCCTGTGCGAAGTTCTGACAGAAACTCTCCCGCATTGTCGATCAAGGCGATTTTGTCTCCGGAAGCCACCATCAATGTGCAGCTCTCGTCCAGCAACGCGGGATCCTCCTGCATGGCGAACCGTTGCCAGTCGCGATCGGAAGAAAAGTCGCGCTGGCAACCGGACAGGGTGATGACAAAGTAGTCCCCGGCAAAGTCCGTCATTATTCCTGACTGTTCAAACCTGTTTCCCATGAAGGATTGTTTCCCGTTGACGAACTCGATCGAAATTTTTGCCGGCTGCAGTGGCTGCTCCAGCAGACAGTGTTTCAGGACCCTCTCCCACGTCATCCACCAGGTCACCGCGCACCCGGTGTCCGCATCGAACCAGTAGTCGCTACCAGCCAGGAACCAGTCCCGGTTTCCATTCGGCGGACGCAGTGGTGCACAGACGTTCGACGCACATAGCCCGCTGGCGGAAGGGAGGTTGATCAAGCTGACCGCCTCATGATCCAGGATAGAGTTCCGAAAACCGTGAGCCGCGGACCCGCTTGAACAGAAGACGAAATATTTGCTGAAGGTGGAATAGTTCTCCGGCAACCACGGTGTGTTGTGCGCGTAAACGAAGTCCCCGCGGTGCAGTCGCACCTCATCCGTGTCTGCTTTTCGTGCGGGCAGGAAAAATTTATGAGGCGCGTCGACAAGCTGCTCTATCTTCTCGTCGTCAATCTGTCGTGGCAAATCGAGAGCACCACGACATAGCCGGTGGCGCTTTTCACGAGCTTCGCGATCGACTTGTTTGCCGCCACTGAGCAGGGCGTGAACCTCCGCCGCCTGCTCTTCTTTGTGGAGGTCCCGCATAATTTGCAGCGTGGCGTCGATCCGCTTTTGGGTGTCGAACTCCAAAAATTTTGGGAATTTCTCAATCGCGTGTTTCTCGAACGCTTCGACAGCAGCGTCAATTTCGGCGCGCTTGCGCTCGATTTCTGTTTTTGCTGCGTCAGGGGTCGCACCCTCCTTTTTGTCTTCGGCTCTCGGAGCGAAAAGTGCCTTAACCTTCTCTTGCACAGGCAAGTCTAAGAAATCGTCGTCGTCCACCGAGGATTTCCGGCGCTTGCTCGTGGGTGACTCAGGCATTTTGTTGTGTTTTTAGCTGAGTAGAAAAAACGAATGTGGCATTCCAAATCTACACGTACACCGACTCAGTAATATTGACGCAAAATTTAGTACCAAAGGCACGAGGTGCTCCACTGGAACCGCAGCACGCCATCGATCTTGTTCGGACCTGCACGTATTACTCTCTTTTTCTCTCTTCATCGCACACACGTCGCACTTGGTTTCGTAGAACGAAGCTCTTCTTCCGACTTTTCCCTTCCCTCATTCTACGCCTCACTGGGCAATAAGCGAAGAAACACAAAGGAAGGCTGTGGCACTTCCGGAGGTAGAATGCTAGCTGCGTGCCAGTGCGCAAGTGAAAAATAAATGTTACCAGAGAGATACGAAACATGAAACAAGTTTGATTTCATATCGAAGACTGGCGCCGCAAAAGTGGAGGACAAATTAGCAAGAAAAGCTGCGCTTTAATTAGTAGTATTTGCGATTTCTAATTGTGGTTTGAATGACAAGCTGTATCGATAATTCAAAAATCCTCGTCACTGACTGATTCTTCGCTGCTCCCATTCTCGCCTGCCCGCCGGCGGTCGGCAGCTTCTACATCTTCGTCAAGACTATCGGCGTTCGCGTTTCCCTGGCTTTCGCCCGATCCAAAATCAGCGCTTGGCACTAGAAGGCCAGTCTTCGTCGACTGAGGTACCGGCGGCGCAGGTACCATAAGAGTTGTATGAACTGGTCCCTCACTTGTTCGGGAGGTCGCAGCAAGGCCGCTGGCGGCAGGCGGAAGATCCCGCCCTGGAGAGCTGCTCTTGCGCTTAGAAGTCATGTCTGCTGTTGTACTACCCGGCTGCGCCATGAAGTCCGGGTAGATCGACCCAGGGCTGTTGAGGTGCGATGGCGGGACTTCAACCCCCGTTGCTATGGCTGATCTTGCCACGCCGCTAGGACCCGCAGCTGCCACACTCACATCGTACGAGTTCAGCGATCGCCCCTGCAATGCGGCATTCGAATCGCCAAACTTATCAAATTGCCGCTGCGGGTCGTAGTCGAACTGGTTTGCAAAGTGTCGCGCCCGCTGGTCCTGCAGCTCCGTCGCCATGTCCTGCTTGGAGAGAAATACGAAGCAAAACGCGACGCCCAGACAAAGGATAATGACACTCAGGAGCGATGTTGCAAAAACGAAGGTGGCGGAGCAGCCACAAATTGTGGCAACGCGCCCGGCCGCAGCTGGGACTGCGTCCTGGTCCGGCGTGTCTAATTCTTCTGACTGTGATTTGATGGCTCCTTCCGGCAAACGACCGCTGACTTCCCCAGTGCTATTCCGAGCACCCGCAGCTGCCGTGCCAGAAGTTCTGCTGCTCTGCATGATTACCCCGCCACGTTGGGCAGCGTCCTCGGTTTCCTGCCCCTTGACTGATGCGTTCGTGCTCTTTTCGTTTTCGGGCGGTTCCGTTGCAGCTTCTATCGCTTCGGAGGTATGCGCATGGAGTGTATGATCGTCGGTGAAAATAATTGTGTGGTTATGGCTCGTCGACGCTTCGCGTGCTGTCCTCGCCGAAGTAGAAGTACTGTTAGTAGCGGATCCTTGTTGCTTCGCTGTCAGTTGCAGTCCATAGTCGCTGGACGGCCCCTTTGGTTTCGCTGAAGGAACTACGGCAGTAGGTGGCCACGTCGGGTGCACGTAGGGCGGAGGCTCTGAGGAAGCCGGAGAGTTCGGCTCTTGCTCCGCTACAGCTGCTGCTGTCCGATCACGCGCCACCTCTGACGCGGGAACCCGCGCACCGTCCGTAGCTGCGGCGTCCGCTGCAATAGTGCCGAGAACCTCCGGTCCCTTCGGCACGACCTGAGGCGACTGCACTTCCTCGAGTCCGCACACAATCTGGTGGAAGTGGCCGTCGACCCCGTGCTGCAGGCCGTTTGGCTCTGCCTCGCCGTGCAACTCGCAATTGGTGCGGTTCGGCGTCTTCTCGCTCCACCCGACATCAGCCCACTCAAAGGCCTGGCACAAGGGCTGCATTCTACGGCAGAGATTGTAGCAGTCCTGTGTTGTCGCTGCCTGCGAGCTCAGCGTGCGTGCGTCGCAGTCCTCGATCCCGCATCCTACAATGTCGGCGCCGCGGACGGTCCCCTTGTAGTCGAGCAGACGGCTCCCGCGGGGGCAGGTAACCGCCGCGGGCTTTTCCGGTGGCGTCCACGAGTCCGGCCGGTCGCGGCGGCAAACCGGCATGTAGATGCTGCGCCACGCGCGACAGGCACCGTTTGGCTCGTGCCAGTCCGAGGGAACCTCGCCGTCTCGCCAGTGCGCCTCGCGATTCGGGGTGAAGCTAGCTCCGCAGGGGTGCGAGTCCGGCGTCTGCTGTTCCACCTCCCGGCCCGAGGACTGGATGCTGCAACCCAGGGGAACATTATACCAATCCCATTGCTTCTGCCACCCAGTTGTGGCATCCGCTAACTTCATCCACGGTTCAGCATTTGTCCAGTTTTTATGCCGAGCCCGATACATGTCATACAGCTCGTGTGGATTCGGCAGCTTACTGAGGCTTTCCGGGAGTGACACAATTAGAGTGCTGCCGGGATTGAACGGCACGTTCACGTTTACCGGGCAGGCGCTGTTTATCACCCGCGCAATTTCGCTATCGCTAAGCGCAAACTCGATTCCGAGGTGAGGTAGGATAAAAGCGTTAAAACCGGCGGTGACGTTCGAACACGAAGTGCCGTTAAAATTGTACCGACCGTCCTGTTGGTTGTTAATGCTAGCCTCTTTACTGAGTTCCGGCCACGTCAGATCGCTAGTCGTGTGGAACCTCGGGGTCGCGGTATATCCTGCCGGCACGCGCCCGGGAATATTCGTTGTCCAATCATGGTATTCGCGTAGCAGCGCAACGGCCACCGCGCAAGACGACTCTTCCAGGGGGTGTGACCCTTGCGGGCAGTCGGCGTCCCCCGGCTCGCCCCAAGCTAGTTCGTCTATCGTCTGCGGCGCGACTGGAGGCGTGGTCCAGGAAGCTGGAAGATCCGCAATCTCGTCCTCTGAAACACTGTCGTTTATGTCCTCCAATCGGCGGCAAACCGGGATATAGGCACTGCGCCATTCGCGGCAAGCGTCGCTTTCTCTTCTCACACCTTGAAATTGAAGGAGCATTTCACTATCAAGGTGCATCTCCTCTTCCGGTACCTGGTACCAGTCCGGCGGCACCCGGTAACTCGGGTCGCGATAATGCGGCATCCTCTATCCCGCAGAAATAGAGCAGGCCTGGCATACTTGATGTTTACCGTGCAGAAACAAATTACTTTAAACAGAAAGATCTGTCATGGGCGTCGTCCCTATGCTGCTTCTGACACGCCAGAGAGATGATACTTTCATTTTTTCCTTTTTTGCATCACAAATACTTATGGCCTGCCTGTCTCTTTATTCTGTGGGATATTCTCCACTGGTGATCTAACGGGCCGCACACGTGCGTCCCCGGCACGTCCACCTCCGGGTCCCGCCCCGTGCTCTGTACGCTGCAGCCCACAGGCAAATTATGGAAGCCCCACAGCTTCTCGCCGTAGAACGGCAAGTTCTTGTTATGCACCCCGCAACGCCTTTCTCCATCCCCAGCGCAGCGGTTTTCCCACCCCAACTCCCCGCGCCAATACCCCGCAGAATCGGGGCCACGTCCCACGAAGTCCCGGGAGGAGATCACCGGCCAGCGTTGGTGCGAAAGCTGCAGGTGTATCACGAGGAAAAATTCCCCCTCCCCATATCGAAAAGGCATGTGATGCTGATTTGCGACCACAAATCATGGCTGGAACAGGACGGAAGCGAAGTACACCTACGGAGGCGGTGCCTCGGCGTGGGCTTACCATCTGCCCCGTGAATCCCTCTACACGGACCGAGCGGGGGCGCAGCATATCCGGCGCCCGCACTGCAAGGTGTACAAGTACGAGCTTCAACACGACGACGCCACATTTCACACCCCCGACGAAGGACAGCCGCTGCGCAAACTGGGATGGATTGTGGGGGCGATGAGATCGCACCAGGCACGGCGCAAGTTGAAGAAACGTGGCCGCAGACGTTGCGACGAAGGAGAACGTCCTGAGGAGCAGCACGACGCTGAGGAATATTTTAGTTCTTCAACACCCTAAACCCTTTACTGGGTAACATCATCATCATCATCTCTGTCTCGCAAGCAGGCAGCCCCACAGGTTCCGCCGCGCTATGCAGGCGGTTTGTGATGCTGCTGAGCCTACAGCACGGACGCTTCTCATGCTAAATGTGTAGACCAAAATCTCCCTACTCAGGTTTGATATGGGCCCGCAGTCCTCTCCAGCAAGACAAATCTGATTTGTGTACGGAAGTCCAGCATCACAAACTTCGTTTCAATTGGGGAGGGGGGATTTTTCACTTTGATAAGGTGGTCGAGCATCAGGTACACTGCATCCCCGCACGACCGCTCGTCCAGCGGTTCCGATATCAAATGCAAAAGTGTCTGGGTCTGGAAGGTTGGAACTTGTGATGCTAACATTGGACTCTGAAAAAATCTGTATTGCAAGACCAGCAAGAGGAGTCTAGTTTGTGCTACGCGGGGAAGGCATTTGTCATGCGAAGTAGGCATCAGGAAGCCCTCTAAAAATCTGTGATGCTAGATCGTGCACTACAGACATCCTGGGTCATGCAAAACATGCATAACAAACCCGGCAACATTCCAGACCCAGACATATTTGCAATGCATATCCGACCCGGGGGGACACGTCGCGTCACCGGGCTCTCCCCAGGCGATTTGGGACACCTTCCAAGGCTTGCGCTTGAAGTTTTCGTCTTCTCCTCCGTGCAATCCAAAAAACCTAGCCACATCGTCGAGCGGCCCCTTAATATTTTCCTTATGCTCTAGTAGGGCCCGCCCCCGAGGTTTGTCCTGGTGCGGTCGGTTGCGATTTGACGTGCGTTTATTCGAGGACAAAAAGGACAACGACCTGGGTATAGGTTTCTTCTGCTCGGACGGATGGCCGGCATTTTTTCGTAATCTCAAAGAACTACCGCTGATGCTCCTCGGGAACAGAGCGAGACGGTGAAATGCTGTTACCAAAGCGCAGTAAAGTCGAAAAGATGAAGCACACATACTACGATAAATCAAGGCTGACGCTGAAGTCGTGGCAGGCTGAATGGCTTGTTTTAGTTTAGGAAAAAAACAGAATCATATATTGCTTTTGCGCTGTCGTAAAAGAGACATCTTCACAAATGTACATACCTTCGCGGGGTGGGAATCAAATTAATCCGTCGTTAAGCTGAGCTCATGACACGGAGAAAAAGCAATTGAAATGGCATCGTTCACGTGGCAGGGTATAATCGCAGCTGAACTTCAGAAAACAAAGCATGCGCTAAGTACGGCAAAGCTGTGACCGGTCACGGACCAAAGCATGATATTATCGCCGTTACTTATGGCCACCATTTCCATTCCTGCACGACGCGACGAAAAAATAGGTGCACGACAGGACGAAAGATTCTATTTGCAGCTTCTGTGTGAAGAACGAGTGGTTGTTTTACTGCACGAACTGACCGCACCGAACGAATACGAAACTAGAACTTCTACGTACAAAGAAATATAACGACAAGCAGATTTTTGTGAACTTGAATTTCAACACTCTCTCCTGCACCGCTGACCTATTTTTTCCACTGCAAGTAGACAGCACGTGACGTTAAAACTACCGCACGCGGTGTGCATACGAGGCGCGCAAGAAAAGAAAGTACATGCACCAGCACAATGATGCTTCGGCCGCTGTCTAGGGCACGGCACACACAACCAGAGCTTCTAATACCAACGAGTAGCACATCATCCTGCATTTTGTAGTTGACCGGAAGTAGATAACATTTTCCTCACCTCAGGAAACGAATCCATCATACAATTTTGCAAAAGTTCCCAGGTAAGGACAAGGAACTGTGAAAGAGAAAAGTTCCAAAATACTTCTGTATAGGGTTCTAAAGCAGCGGTCGGCGATGAAAGTCACCGATTGATAATTAGATCAATTCAATATCGAATTTATTTTACAGTAACTTTACATTTACCGCCTGCTTGCGAGTATATCTTGTAAAACAAGTAAGGGAGTAGTACATTAGGAGCTCCTCTCTCTCTCTCTCTCGACGGATAACTGTCCACGACTGGTGGCCTTATTTTGCATATTAGCACATCTGGATGATGGATCATGCGAAACTTAATTTCCGGAAACAAATAAATCTCCTCAATTCGGCGCCAGCGATTCCGGGTCCTGCGCCACGGGTGTGCCCACCGCTGGCTTCGTACTCGCGTCCGCCGGGGCGGGCTTGTCGTCGCCGTACTTTTGCAGGTACAAGCTGTTGAGCTATCCTGAGTAAAGGCGTCCCCACACCAGAATCAAGATGAGATATCTGCTAGACAAATCAACCAGCTTTGGCTGTTGCACATGACAAGTTTGGCCTCGTAGTGTAATGCTGCTCAGGTAGTTCAGCAGCATCACAGATCTAGCATATAATGCTGATTTTTAAAGCATGACAAACTACGAAACACGACTAGAAAATGCTTCTCGAGGAGCTCCGCAATGAGAAATATTTTCAGCCAGCAGAGTTTGCGTGACAACTCTGAGGTGGGGACGTTTTTACTTAGGATATGAGCTTCGACATCACGATTCCCGCCGCGACCGCGATGGCGAGATTGGTAATCAGCGTCCCGATATGCATTGCAAATATGTCTGGGTCTGGAAGATTGCAACTTGTGATGCTGCCTTTGGATTCCAAAAAAATCTGTATTGCATGAGTAGCGAAGGGAATGCAATTTTTGCTACGATGAGAAGGCATTTGTGATGCGGAATAGGCATCAAGAAGCCCTCAAACAATCTGTATTGCTAGTATATGCATCACAGACATCATGGCTCATGCAAAACGTGCGTGACAACTGTCAGAATCTTCCAGACCCAGACATTTTTGCAATTCATACCCGATGGTGACCACTACCACGATGAAGCAGTCGAAGCGGGAAAGCTCCGCCAAACCGAGCTGCACGTCTATCAAAAGGAAAAACTCCCCCTCCCAATATCGAAAAGGCACGCCGCAGAAGATTTGCAATGCTGATTGTCGACCACAAACCATCTCTGTCTTGCAAGAAGGCAACTCCACAGGCGCCGCCGCATTTACGCAGGGGGTTTGTGATGCTGGTGAGCCTACAGCGCAGACGTTTCTCATTCTAAGCGCCTAGGCCAAAATCTCCCTACAAAGGCTTGATATGGGCCAGCAGTCCTCTCCAGCAAGACAAAGCTGATCTGTGTACGCAAATCCAGCGCCAGAAGTTCCGGTTTGATACGGGGAGGGGGGCTTTTTCCTTTCGATAACGTCCTCCGCTTCTTCCTTGGACAGCCGCGATCGGTCCCGCAGCGCCGCCGGGGTGACGACCACGTTGTCCAAATGCGAAACGATGTCTTCGCGCTTAGCCGCGGGACTCTGCTCGCCCGCGACGCCGTGGTGGTAGTGTCCCTTGGACCGCTTGCGGACCACGCGCGTGCCGCCGGCGGAGTCTATTTTTGCATTTTGGTAGTAGAATTCATTGTGCATTCGATTTTGTTCACGTGCGCCGCTGTCGCAATCGAAGAACAAACAAGAACCAGCATACCTGCTATACTCCTCATAATTCTGTTTGTATTTGTAGTACAACAAAAAAAAATCGGTACCCAAAAAAATATCTATCTGTACATGATGATATTTCCGATCCTTTGCTGCCGACCGTTTCCTTACTGGGCTGGGACCTGGGCGGTTGCCCAAACGAGTCGTCCGCTGGGGGTGGGTCCTTGGAGCCCGATCGGCCTACGTCGGCTTGCGCCAGTGCCTCCTTGCTGACGGAGATCACCCGCACCACATTATCGCCGCCCGGCGGCAGCAGCTGATTTCTATTTCCGCCTTCGGTCGTTGCGGGAGACTCCACCGCGGGGGTCACGGCCTCCTCGCTGACGACGTATACTTCAATCGGCTTCCAGGGCTTGCCCGTAAAGGCCTCGTAGAACAGGATGTGGGTCTTTTTCTCCCAGGTGTGATACGACACGCACCTGTTATGAGTAGGAGGTGCAATTGTACTCGTTTTCGGACATTTTAGATGCGAAGCGATAGTAATTCTTGATGTGTGATCTTGATGATCTTCGTAGCTGGAAAAAATTATACCACATCACTCCGACCAAACTGCCAACCGGAATTTTTCCTATAACCGGACTGATGGCCACCATAATCAGAAGCGTGCCCACACCGGCCGTCATACCGGCTATCCTCTTCGTGCCGCCATTCCGCACGTTGATCATGGCCTGCCCGATCATGGCGCAACCGCCCATGGACCCGAAGAACCCACAGATCAAATTGCCGCCGCCCTGCGCCAAAACCTCCCGTCTCGCATCTCCGGGCGGGGAGTCGGGCAGCATCTCGTCGATCTTCTCCAACGTCATCAGGGACTCGGTGAGCCCGATCACGCACAAATAAACCGCGGTGAGAATCGTCGACGCGAGTGCACCCCCGTCGTTGAAGGGATTCGGCATGTCGTACTTGCTAAACACCACCTCGAGGAAGTTCCCTTTCAGATTCGCCATGTCCTCCACGAGCGTAGTTCCCTCATCCGGCAGAATGAACGTGCGGACGCAGGCGTGCTCCAGGACGGTGACGAAAACGATGGAGATAAGCGCGAGGGGGTATTTTTGAAACTTTTCGGGAAGAAAGTTGATGCCCAGGGCGATGAAGGAAAGGACCTTATTTTTTAGGCCGCGGGTTTGATACTTCTTTCGCTTGGAACAGGAAAATGAATCCTCTTTGAAGAGCAGATGCAAAAAATGCACAGGAAGAGGACAAAAAGAGTTTTGCTGTCGCCGAAACCATTGCAAGAATGCTGAAACCATCAAACTTGCTATGACGGAATTTCTCCAGAAAAAAACCTATAGCTAGCTGTTGCTATACTATTAGTACCAGCATGACGATCAGTTTGTCTGCTTTCACGTAGTTGCTGGTCGCCAACACGAAGTCCACGATCTCCAAATGCTCGGTTTTCTCGGTGGTCTCCCCGTGCGGGATCAAAAAGGATTCCAGCTGCGCCTTCCCGATCACCAGTGCGAGCCCGTTGAGAAACCCGATCTTGACAGGGAAGGTGACCAGGGAGAGTGCTTTGTGGATGCCCGCGAACCCGAGCAGGATTTGAAACAAACCGCAAAACATCACGGCCCAGATATCATATGCAAAAACGTCCCCACCCCATAGTCAAGTTGGGAGCGTAGCATTACAAACCCAGAAGCTTTGGGACCCACGCATGACAAGTTGCAGTCCGTAGTGTAGTGCATGTTAGCAAGGACAGCCACATCACAAATCCATCTGCTTATCCTGTTTGCAGCATTACAAATGCCAAAACACGATTGGAAATGCCTCCCTTGGGGACGCGCATTACAAATGTTCCTGCAATTGCAAATCTACATGACAACTCTGGGGTGGGGACGTTTTTACACAGGATACCAGAAAAGGTACTCCACCCCTTCGTCAGTGACTATGGACGTCATGATCACCGCCATGGAACCGGTGGCACCGGAAATCATACCTGGTTTTTTGTTGTGATAGTGGGTTCGAGAGTTGCAACTTGCCCGGTGCCCATGTTGCACCTAACTATCTTATGAGCACTGGTCGTGGAACTCGACCGGGTGGCAAAATGTTTTTTTTACCTGGCCTGCCGCCCGCTACGGCGGTGAAAAAGCACATGATCCAGGCTGCCGTGAGAGCCACTGGCGGTTCCACCTTCGCGACGAAGGAAAACGCCACGGCCTCAGGGATCATGGCCAATGCGACGGTGATACCAGACAAAAACTGGGCCTGGTTCTCCTTGCAAAAACCCAGAGCCCCGGCTGCATCGGTGGGCATTTCGCTGGCCGGGTTTTCACTTGCCGGCTTCTCGGTGTCGGACACGGCGGCCTGGGTAAGCTCGCCTTCGATTGGCCTATCTTCCGTAATTGTGACATCTTCAGTGGCAACCACGTCGACGACGCTTAGCGGTTCTGGAAAAGCCGACGGCGTTGCGCCGCCGAGCCCCTCTTCGGTGGTCATCGTTTTTTCCTTAACTTCTGAACAGCCAGACTTCTACTAGACAGTGCATTGACAGCAGCAGCCTTTCGTGCACTCGCTTTTCTTTGCAGCCAAAGGCACTCTTTACTTCACTCCATCACTATACTCTATCCAAGCAAACCAGCTCTGGCGCTCAGACACGAAGGCGAAGACAACGGAGGTGAACGCCACGACATCAAATGGAAAAAAGTATGCGGTCCTATATACACAAGCATTACAGCGCAACCGGCTGCGTGACGCTTTGGCGCACGTTCGTGACCATTTCCCAATTCTCCTGCTAGTGTCGATGCAAGATCGGAATGTCAATGTAATGACATGACAATAAAAGCTATGATTGTACAAAGCGTAGGAGCGAGTGCAGCATTCGTGATGGAGATACAAAATTCGAAACAAGAACCTTACAACAAGAAATTGAACGACCGCAAAAATTATATTTTTAATAAAAAGACGCATCTACTTCGAAGATGCATTCTACATGCTATGCGCCCGCTGGCTCCGATTTAGCGACTCCCCACCCGTCCCTCCTTTGAACCCTCCGCTATTCCCGACTTGCACACAGGAATTTCCTCTCCACTGCCCATTCCCATTTCCCTCCAATTCCGCCCCGGTTGCGTCGTTGCTCTGATTCTGCTTCTTCCCGATCGCGTCTCGGAGCGACGCTAGCGCGCCGGTGACGAACGCGTCGTGCTGTAACAAAATCGCTTTTTCCGCCGAATCGACCAAAAATTCCTTGCTCTCCGGCATCCGCTGCTGGATGCGCGTCAGCCCGTCCCACCAGAGAAGTAACTTCACCAACGTGTTCGTCGCGGCGTTCATGTGCGGCAGCCGCATTTCCAACGCCTGGTACGTTACCGAGTACTCCAGTAAAGACGCGAGAGCGAGTAACAACGGCACCCAGACCGCCGCCCCGAATGCCACCAACGCGGCGTTACTCGCGTTCAAAACAATGATCGCGAACTGCAACTGGTACAGCTGTCTCGCCTATGCATTGCAAATATGTCTGGGTCTGGAAACTTGTAATACTTGGTTGGGAATCGTGAATGCTCTGTAATGCACAGCTTTGCATGAGAAAGGTCTGCGCTGCTCAGTGTTGCGTTTTCCGCATGATAAACTGCGCTTTTGCATGACAGGCACGAGGCCCTTTTCCTGCTCATGCATCACAGATGTAAGAGTCATGCCAGACATGCATGACAAACGTGCATTCTTCCAGATGACCCAGACATATTTGCATTCCATATCGCCAGCTTCGGCGTCATGCGCTCGTTCTCCCGTAACTGCGGCAAAACCCGGTCGCGGACGTACACTTCGGCGGAGCAGTATTACAGTGAAAAATGCCACCACCCCCAAAGTCGTAAAAACTTGTGATGCGAAGTTCCCAGATGCAAACTTTTTGTCATGCATGAAAGAAGTATGAATCTTTCTGGTGCAGAGTCTACGCGTGTATCGCATCGCTTGCATGACAAGCGCCACTTTTGCTGGGGTCTTTTGCAATACAAAGTTTTGCTATTCACGATTGGAAATCTGTGGTGCTGAAGATGCAAGAGGGCGTATGTTTCATTTGGAAAGGTTTGCAATACAAATGCTCCCACGTTCGGGGGTAGGGGCATTTTTCACCTTGATAAGCAGGTGAGACTGTTTTTGTCCCCACCGGTCAAAAGTTTGTCCCGGCCCCGGTTCTTCTCCGTCCAGGCCTTGTACGATAAAAATTCCCGCTTCCGCGTCACCACTGGCGCGTTCAACCTATTTTCATCGTCTTTATCCATCTCCAAAAATTTCAAACTGATACTCCGGCCGGTGGCAGGTTTCTTGTTGTCATCGAGCAAAAAATCGGCGGTGGAGCCCCGGCGTCGTGTGTTCGTCATCATTTTTCCGTAAAACTTACTGCGCTTGTTTACTTCCTGGTTTTTGCCGTGGTGGTAAGGCGAGTCGCCGGAATGGTCGCTGTGCTGGTCATCTCCGAAGTAAAACGCTTCACGCCTACTTCCACCATAATCATCGTGTGGGTCGAGATTTTTACCAGAGTATCCGTACCGGTCTTGATATTGCGCGCCCTTGCCTCCGGCAAGTTTTCCCAACTTGTTCATTCCCCAGCTATTTGACCGGCCGAAGCTTCTTCTCGTGTTTCGTTGCGGATCGACGAAGGAGTTATGCGGGTCATCTCCGTCGTCGGTAAAACAGGACCTCGACCGGCTCCACCGATTGTTGCTCCAGGACTGCAGCCCCTGCACGTCCCGCGCGGAGGAGCGCACGTTCCGATCCGAGGAAAAGATATCCGGTAAAAACCGGGAGAAGTGTCCGAGGCGTAAATCCGCGGACCCGCAGCTGGTCCAGATCTCCTCCACGGTGGACGCGAAGTTTTCCCGCGCGGATTTCCTCTTCCTCAAACTCATCGCCGTCACCGATACGGGCACGTACTCCCCGACGCGCGCCCGGTACCGCCAAATCTCCCCCTCGATCCGTTTCGCCGCGGCGAAAACGGTGACGAACCGTTGCAGCGGCCGGTAGCTCGCGCTGAAGGTGACGAGGACGGAGATCAGTAAGGGAAGTACCACGTTTAACCGTCGGGTCCAGAGAATAGCCCAGGCGCGGTCCTGCCCCGGATCGCTGCTGTGCATGAAGAACGGGTGGTGGTCCTCCGCCGCTTCCAGCCACACTTGCGCCAAGGCTAGAGTGGTGGAGACGAGAATCAACACGCGGATCACGGTCATCAGAATGGTCGCCGCGAACCGGAAATTTCGCGCCGCGTCGAGCAATACGCCAAACAAATCGGCCGCGTGCTGGATCGCCCGCGTCTCGGATTCTTGATTGCCGATCTCCCCCAAGTTTTCGTGCACGGACGACATCACCTGCGTGATCTCGTCCTGGAGCCGCTCGACGGGGAGCATCTTCATCTGCGGGTTATCTAAGGATAAATTCACCACCATGACGGAATTGTGGCGGAAGGATTCGTCGAAGTTCCGCGCGAAGGTCCAAAAGTGGTGGTAGGTGAAGTGGTACCGAGGGTTCCGCTTGGTCAACCGGTTCTCGATCTCCTCGTGGATCCACTTCAGACTCGCGCGGGGGTACAGTGCGTCCGGGGAAAAGAACATTTCGTAAATCCGCATGAGCTCCGCGAACCCGTCGGCCGGACCGCCCGTGCCTTCCAAAATGAACAGCGGTATCCCGTGTAAAAACGTCCCCACCACAGAGTTGTCATGCAGATCTGCAAGCACGAGAGCGTTTGTAATGCGCGATCCCATGAGGGGCATTATCAATCGCGTTTTGGAACTTGTAATGCTGTAAACAGCATAAGGAGATCGATTTGTTATGCGGCTTCCCTTGCTAAACTGCACTACACTACAGCCTGCAATTTGTCATGCGTGGTTTCCAAAACTTCAAGGTTTGTGTTGCAAAATCCCCATCTTGACTCTGGGGTGGGGATGTTTTTACATAGGATAAGCGGAGAACCCGTGCGGAGGCAGCGCAGCCCGAGTTTGGCGATCGGACCGGTTCCGCCCGCCACGATCAAGCCGACCGAGAAAAGTTCGAGAAAAAGCTCGCAGAATTTCTTGCGGGCCTGATTGATAATTTCAACTTTATTTTCTCTACTTCAGACAATATTCTACAAAGGGATAACGCGATCGTGAAAAATCACCTTGTTTGTCCTTGTGCATGTTCTACTCAGCAACATCATATACCTGGTCCGTCGCGAAGACCAAGACATGCGTCACGTTTTTCATGCACCCGCCGTACGTCAGCATGGTTTTGCCGTCCTTGACACAAGTACTCTCATACTCCGTCAATCCGGACTGGATGTTGATTACTTCGGTTACGTCATCCTGCGAAAAAACGTTCTTACCACGTGGCCACGATCATGTGACTCTCGCTATACAAGTCACACATAGATTGCTAGTGCGCTGAGCTAGTGCGCTCAGTTAGTGCGCTTAGCTAGTGCGCTTAGTTAGTGCGCTTAGCTAGTGCGCTTAGCTAGTGCGCTTAGCTAGTGCGCTTAGCTAGTGCGCGTAGCTAGTGCGCTTAGCTAGTGCGCGTAGCTCGTGCGCGTAGCTCGTGCGCGTAGCTCGTACGCTTAGCTAGTACGCTTAGCTAGTGCGCTTAGCTAGTGCGCTTAGCTAGTGCGCTTAGCTAGTGCGCTTAGCTAGTGCGCTTAGCTGGTGCTGCTACATCGCCAATCCACTATCTGATCCTGCTTAGTGAATTTATCAGAAAACTACAAAAAGCCCCTTGTGGGCGAGAGCCGCGCCTGGTACTTGCTGCATGAATATGAAAAGTGGGTAGTACGTTTTTTCGACGGCATAAACCTCCTCCCGTTCGTCCACGCAAGCCGTTTCGAACACCTTTTGCGGTATCCTCGTCCGCGCCGGGTCCTGGAAGTTGTGTTTCCACATGCTGTTCTCGATCTCGCGCTGCGTAGGCCACTTGTACTGTACGTTGGGGGACACGATGGAGGGGATCGTGGTGCACTCGTCCAGGGTGTAACACCCCAGCGCGTTGCACCCGGGGCGCAGCTTCTCGCACAGAATCTCGGACAACCGGTTCCCGCCGGAGGGACGACCTAGGAGAAAAACGGAGTTCGTCTGCGCGCAAGCCTCTATGATGCCGGTGAGGATGGTTCGAACCCGCTCCTCTAGCGCTTCCCTCTCCAAATAAAGCCGGTGCTTCACCTCCTCATCGTAGAGGTCTAGGGGCGGGGGCTTGTTGAAATTGTTGCCGTAAAGATCTCCAACTTTGTACGCGGTTGGGGAATAAACTGGCGTGCGCGCCGCCGCGTTTGGTAGACTGTCCGCGGCAGCGTAGGGCGAGGCGGGTTGGGCAGCGAAGCTCAGGGCCTGCACCTGGTTGCTCATGTCCATGGGGGAGGCGAGTCCGGAGGGGAAGGCACCGTGTGCCTTCGGAATCGGACCGTAACTCAGCGCCTCCACCTTTGGAGGAAGGGTGGTTGGGCCGAAACTCAGCGCCTCCACCTTCGGGGGCCCGAGCGGGCCAAAACTCAGCGCCTCCACTTGATGCGCGGGTTGCGCAACTGTAGGGCCGAAGCTCAGCGCCTCGACGCGCGCAGGTTCGGCTGCCGCCGGAACCGCTTGCCTGTCCCTTTCTTCCATGATAGTTGGCAGCTTCTTCATTGAAATCTCGTTCACCTCGGGTTCGTTTTGCTGCCAACTGTTGAACGCCGGCGGCTTGGGTGCGGTCGGTATTGTGACTGGCTGGTTCGGCAACGGGTTAGTAACATCTGGCTCTCGTCGCTGCTGCTGGCAACGGTCCATCATGTCATCTACTCCGTCGCCGGATACTTCGCGAACTTTTCCTCGCGACGTTGGGCTCTGCTCGCCGGAAGCGAACGAGGCCATCTTGCGCTTGAAAGCAGCGGCGCCGACAGGCTTTGTTCGTTTTGCCGGTGGCGGACTCACCATGGATAGCTCGGCGACACGCGGGGGAGGATCGGAAATCACCCCGGACAATTCGGCCTGCTGCGGTGGCGGCAACACGACGCCGGAAACCTCCGCAACCTGCGGAGCCACTTCGTGAATGGGCCGGGTGACGGCGCGCGGCAGCTGTGCCGGAGCGGTGTCACCCGTCGGCGACGCCAGTAGCCTCGCTAACCTGCGGTCATCGTCCGCCGCGGTGGGCGACGAGGGAGAAGCGGCCGGGGACGACCCCGTGACCAAATCTCCCTCTTCCTCCTTCTCCGGCAACAAGCCCTCGCTCGCCAGCTGCTCGACGGTCTCCGCGTCGACGCCAATCGCCTTCAAATCCTCCGCGAAGTGCTGGCCCTCGCGGTGGTGGTTGTACATGCCCTTCAAGTCCCCGCTGAGCTCCCGTGTTCTTCTGCGATCCTGCTTCACGTAGTCCGCGAGGTTCTTGTGCGACACCTCGGAAGCCGCGAACAACTGCCCCGACACTTCCGCGGCCAGGAAGGGCTGGTTGCCGGCAACGCGCGGGGACACGGAGGAGGCAACGGCATTGTTCATTTGGAAGGTGAAGGAAGATTTGTCTGCTTGTTGCTGTGGGTCAAGATCATTATATCCAGTAACGCCAGCAGCGGATGTTAGGTAGTCGTTGTTCCTCGGCGAAAATACATTCCTCCGCGGTTGTCCACCTCGTCCACCGGGTGCATTCCCATGTTGATCCAGCTTGTTCTTCAGCTTCCTCGCACTGGTCAGGTCCTGCACCTTCCCGCGCTTCATGTCGTCCAGCAGCATTTGGAGTAGGCCGCGCGTGTTGCCGTAGTTCAAGTCCTCGACCAACTCGTGCCACAGCAGGTGCGCGGGACACAGGAAGTGCCCCTTGTCGAAGAAGAACGCGAGCTGGGGCTTCTTGATGCCCAGGGTTTGCAGCACCTGCTCCACGGCCTCGGCCGTCTGCGTCGGAAAGCCGTCGGGTACAAAGATGAAGTCCTTGAGCAGCTGCGGGTTGCCGTCGAGCATAAACCGGCCCTTCTTCAACGTGCGCGTCTTCGGCTGCACGGCCGCCATCGAGCGCGTGGCGGACGCGGACGAGCCGGCGGTAGTGGAACTGCTGTGGGTCGCATTGCTACGGCATGAAAAAGGAAAACCTCTTCCTCCGGCTCCCGAGACACATCGCGTTGCTTCCCCTTGCAGTTGCGCAAAAATCAATTGCGTGGGCAAGAAGTATAGAGGAGCCGGCGTACAACTGTACCGGATCGAAAATCTTCAAGAATGGCTGGGCGCAGCAAGGAAATTCCGCATCATAACCAGTTTTGCCAAATACATTGGCAAATATGCTTGTCTGCACAGCGAGTAGTACATCAGAGGACTACCCTTTTTGTAACGGGTGTCGGGTGTTAATAAAATCCAGGAGAAGCAATGCCAACTCGTTCGGGGGCGGACATCATTGATTGCACTATGGTATCATAAAGCTCGCATTCAGCGGATCCGACGTGGGTTCGGCTTGCCTTGCCGGAAGGCCGGCGCTGTCGGACGGTGGTACCGCTGAACCGGTCGGAGACGGCAACGCCGTTACCGGGTTGGAGTTTGCGCGGGCCGCCGGCGCGGGCTCCGGAACGGTGGTTTGCATCTTTTTGTATACAGTACTCGTACCTGTCTCGCAGCCTGCGACTTCCGAGCGCACCGTCGCTTTCCGAGAGACCCAGAAACAGAGCGGCCGTGTCGGCGCGCGGAAAGCGCCAGTGTTTGCGTCTCTCACGTCGCTCCCTCGGCCTGCTTCCTGCTTTGCCTCTCGTTTTTCCGCTCAAACCGGGGGCGCCGCCAATCAGCGCTGCGCGCGAAGCCGGCGCTCTATTGGCGAACGCGGCCGCTATCTGCCTTGACGCGCACAACCCGAGGCCGAACAACCGTCGCGTGCGCTTTGATGGAATTTGTTGCGGGCGTGAAGGGGCTCGCAAATGGTCGCCTGTATGCCTGTCCGGAGGCCATTCGACGCGGCCAGTGCGCGGCGCGCGGGGTTCCCAAGGCGGAAGCGAATGCACCAAAAAAGCGGGCCGTGCGCGTGTAGAGGCGCGAGACCAAAGGGCCGGACCGGGCGGAGCCCGCGGCGCGCCGTCGCGGCTCGGTCGGCCCGGGCTCGGGACGGCGGCGGGCGGGGTCCATCGCGCAGGCCACCCGCCGCGGCCGCTGGGTCGTCCGCTCAGACAGACCGCCCCTGCGTGCGCGCTTGCACCGAAGCTGGAGAGGGGCGGGGGAACGGGGGGGGGGGGGGGGGGGGGGGGGGGGGGGAGGGGAGTTGCGGGGAGGCGATCACTTGGATCGGGTGCAGCTATGCAGGCGGAAATCCCCCCTAGCAGGGCTTTGGATGAAGTGCAGCCATTTGCATAGATGATCTGACACATCTCTTCTACCTTTGGGGGATGTAACTAGGTAGGCTGGGGCCCCTTTCCTCCCTAGTAGGGAAATCGGACCACCCTTGTGGCCCTGATTTTTGTAATGTGCGAAATATAAAGTTGACACAGCTTAAAAATGAGTTGCAGCATATATTTGCTTACATAACTGACTAGACATAGATGATCCCTCCACATGTGCTTCGTATTTTGTGGAATTTTTCCTTGAGTGGAAAATTTTGATTTTTTAATAATTTTCTGATGCGAGAAAAACGACAGCAAATAATTACAAACCTATTAAATAAAGTTGATGAAAATAGGGAAACAGAAAGACAGTATCAATTTTCCTTGCATTTTTACATACTGATATGACATAAATGGACAAAAACAAAAAATCTGATTTTTTCAGTTTTTTATGAAAAGTGGAACTATGATGTAAATTCATCCCGTCTCATACTGATTCACATATGGACGCCATGTGTACGCCACTGGTTAAGCTTCACCGTGTTTCCTTTTTAATTGTTATGCAGAATTGGAAATTTTTAAATTTTTTGAAAAAAATCAATATTAGAAATCCTAAACTGTTTTCTTTCAGCGATCGATCAAAACGAGATGCTTTTTTTTTCCAAAACCGACTTCAAATGTACACTGATTTTTGCTTCAACCGATTCGCTTTTCGTCTTTTCCTTTCAGTCTAGAACCCGCGTTCGTTGTTTCCCTTAACAACAAAAAAGTTTCTTCAGCCTGCTATCGTTGGTTTTAATTCTTCGCCTCGGAAGGTCAAGAGTAATCTTGAGCCAACCTCGGCGCACATAAACAAAGGGCAAAATCATCGTTAGTTTGTGAGTTTTTCTCTCAGCTTTCCTTCGCTTTTCCTGCTAAGTGACAAGCAACAAAAAGTCTCTCTTTCCCGTGTTTTCTAGTAGTGTTTGTTGGTTGTCTACGATCAAAAACAACTAAGAAAAGGTCCGAATTCTTGCGTTCTGCTCGCTCTTTTGCATGGTAAGTTCGAAGAAAGTAGACCGAAATACTTAACTTGTTCGCTCAAAAAACGATGGCATTCTACTTTTGCAACGTCGTATTTGTTCGGTCAAAGCCTATTGAAACACAGTGCGACAAGAGATAGAAAAAGCCTGTTTTCCTTGCGAGTAGTGCATTTTTCAGTGCGAAACAAAGATCGAAACGTAGTGCGAAACGACCTACAAATAGTGCGAAACCAAAACTGTAGAAATGCAATAAAACTAGTTCTAAAATAGCAGCAGTTCCTTTGCCTTGCTTCTTCCGCCTTCTTACAACCTTCTACTGCGGTGCAAAAGCAACGCAAACTTCCCCGGAAAAGCTTGGACTGGTTCCACCACCTCGTTTTCACTGCATATTCCCGCGCGACCAGGAACATACCGCAAGATCCCAGAATGACCGCCGCCAAACTGTTCCCAACCGCAACCGCCAAATTCAATTCCACCAGGAAAAACACAAAGCGCCAGCACCGCGCCGGTAAGGGGTAGTTGTTGATCTGACTCCATAAAATTCCCGTTTGGTGGTTTATTTGTGGTAGAAATTTGCGCATCACCCGCATCACCATCGAAATATCCTACATTTCTGTTACACCTCTTTTTTTCGTCGATGGTGATCCGGGGCTACTCGTGAAACACAAGATATTTCCAAAAATCGTTCTGAAACTGGTAGTACTTGAAAATCCCGTCACTACTGCTGTTCTCCCGCGGAAAAGAAGCCCACACGTCGCTTGTAGAAGATTGTCTTTACCGCCCAGAAGGGTCTTCCGTCGATGAAAAACGAGGTCTTCGGTCCATCCCAGACGTCGTGGTGCTGTATCTCCTTCCCGTGCAGCGTGATCTTGTAGTGGGTAGTGCGTTGTGGTAAAAGGTTCTTGCTAACTGGTCCGTACTTCAGGTCGAGATTGGATAGTTGTACTGCTTTCGGCACCTTGAAGAAAATGGTGCAGATAGGTAAAAACTTGCTGTGCAGAAGTTCATCTAGTTCTCCGCGGTTTTTCGTACCGCATTGCTGCCAGGTATCGACGCAGCTCCGGATTTCAGTTTTTGTACTGGTAGTTCTTGATAAAAACGTCTGCCTTTCTCCGCGTAGCAAAATGCCGGCGCTGAGAAGGTCTTGCTGCGGTGGGGAAAAGCTGGAGCACTGCATCATGTCGTTATGCCAGAATACAACATAATCTTCTCCCTCGTCCCACTTTCCGCTACTCTTCCTTACTGGTGGAATTTCATTCAAAAATTTCACATCTTGTTTTTCTTCCTGAGGATGTAACAGGTGACGTCGCGGCTCACTTCCATGGTGATAAATCCACTGCTCCGCTGTTTCCGTCCATCCTACCGCTGACGCTGCCGTAACATACGACAACGCAGCCTGCGTAGCTGCTGGCTCCTGCAAGAGGTCTTCTTGTTCCGGATTCAAATCCATTTCCTCTTCCTCCACGTCCATACCAGTAGCGGGCAGCTCTCCTGCTTCAAAATTCGCACACTTGGTTGCGAATCGCTTCTGTTCTTCGGCGATAAATTTTCGAATCACCTTCATCACAGACTCGTCCGCAACACCCCACACGGAGAGGAGCAGCAACAGTGCGTCGGCGACGAGGCGAACTTCCTTGGTGAGCGCGTCTGTCCAGTTTTTCTTTCCCGCTATGTGTGCGATGGACATGACCTTGCCTTCTTGAAGTTGTAAAATGTTCATGTAGTCACTGCGTAGATTTTTCTCTTTTGGTTCTGCAAGACAGTTGCGACTGTCGGTGAGCTGGAGGAGCACGTTGCCCAACCTGGTAAGGTGCAAGTCCAGCGCGAGTTGTGTCAGATACAAACTTTCTGAACACAGCAGTCGTTGTCCCAGTAGTTCAATACCCGTAGAACTATGGAACACTCTTTTCGGGCTTTTTGAAAAAGCAAGAAGAGTTGTGATAAAATCGGACTCCGGGCCGACTAGGTTCACCGTGCCGCCGACCCGCGACATAGATGCGTCCGCACATCCGATGACAAAGTGCTGGTGGAGGTCGCCAATCCGCATTACTCTCCGGCTTGCGCAGTCCATTTCGTTCGCGTACCAAATCAGGTTGTTCATGTCGCAGACATAATCTGCAACCTGTTCGTAGCTGTTTGCTTGTTCCGCTGGGATGAGTTGGCTTGCCAGCATGCTCGTCAGGCACAGGATGAGAGCTGCGGTTTTGGTGCTCCACAACAGTTCACCTATGCGTCCTCGAAACGGATTCTGTACTGCCTTCTTTTGCATTTTCGTGCGTGCAGTGTCGCGGTCGTGAAAAAACTGCAACACTTCAGCCTTCTCAATCGGTACCACTTTGGAGAGGTAGTTGGACTGGGACACCACGTAGACTACATCCTCGTGCTGTTCACACCAGTCGACTAGTTGCTTTGCGTCGAACTTCAGCGCTTCGACGTTGTTGTATGTGGTTGGACCTTGATCGCGGGTGATATCATACTCGCGCTCCAGTCCGGAAATTTTGCTTTCATCCACCGGCCGTAGGAATTCCGCCGGGGTTTCAAATTCCATCTTTTCAAGCTCCGTTTTGTGCTTTTTCAGAGCTTGTTGTGTTTGGTAGCGGTGGATCTCGGTGGGAACCACGGAAATTTGCCGCCCGATAAAAGCATCTTTCCTCCCTGGCCGCAAGCAACTCCAGCTTCCTAATTCATATCGCCGAAAAAGCGCAAAATTTCGGAGCTGGTACAGCAACGTGCCACCGGAGAGGGTGTCATCAACATGACTTCCCAGCGCTCCGAGCAAAGTGCCGCGGAGCTGAACATGCGAGGTCAGGGAGTTCACGATTTTCTCACTTTCGATGTTCGCAAACGACCCACCGGGCTTCAGCGGAGCAGGATCCACGACGTTGTCTTTCTTGGCGCCGTAGATGACCCTTGCACACTGTTCCAAGTTTTCGGAGTCGACTGCTAGCAGTTGTTCTAATTTTTCGTCGAAGTAGGCGCGGACAGCGTCCGGACCCCGTGCTAGTACTTCTTCTTCTTCCGGCGTCGCAGTACACACCCACAACGTCGGGTCGAGTTTGCTTTGCTGGTATCCAAGCGTGGTGAGCGAGGCGAACAGCGTCTTCATCCAATTGTACGGAGCATCCTTGCATCCGTAAATTGCTGCGATGAGTTCCACCAGATCCGAGAAGCCGTATTCCTTCATGTTCTTGATCGTGTCCGGCACGGTCATCCAGATCTTGGATGCAGAATCTTTGTAGTAGTCATCATTTTCGCCGTGCGCCGCGTCGAAGCTGAAACCCTTGAGGAAGGCTTCTTT